GAGGCATCTGCAGAGGCAATGCTGTCTGCTTTTGGGTCATAATGTGCCAGCATTAAGTCAGATACAAGAGCTTTCTTAATGAGCCTAAACGCTTCCTCACATTGGAATGACCAAAACCAGGGTCGATTTTTACCCAGTAACTCATTCATTGGCTCGCGAAGTCGATGCATATAAGGAATAATTGCACTGTAATAACTCATCATGTCCAGGAAAAATTACAGAGCAAGTATATCGTGTGATACAGGTAATTCCACTATAACGCGCATTTTTTAATTTCAGCTCTTCGCCTGTCACGATCGACCATAGAGCCAGCGTATTTCAGTTGAGGCATAAACATTAACATTTATCAGCTGTCAGCGTCAAACCATATTCCCGTAGGCGTTCGAATACTTGCAAGAGGTGGCAGCTATGCTAGATTCTGTCTGATGATTCAATGATATCATCCCAATATGCACAAGTCGATTGTACGTCTGCCAGCATGGTATCCATCCGTTGTTGAAAGATTCCCGGAGCAGCGTTCATTCCGAACGGCAGTCGATTGTACGGATACAGGCCGCGGTGACTGTAAGAAGCTCCGTGCGTCATCATCGACTACCACTTGAGGATAAACATCGGAGAGATCAATCTTTGCAAAATTTGACTACCGTTGAGTCTGGCGAAAACATCCTCTGGTAATGGCAGCGGGTGTTGATGAAGATTCAAGTCTGCGTTCAGGCCGGTTGAAAAATCTCCACATAAGCGAACGGTTACGTTTGCTTTTTCACAATCACTATGGACGCTGCCTAGTCTGAGTATTCCACTTGGGATATCACATCTGATTGCCCCAATCAATCCAATGCCTCGTCCACCAACTTAAGACTTGACCCGTAGCCTAATGGTAACAAGCTTGTCTTGTAATCTGACAGCGTGGGTTCGACTTTGAGTAGGGCAGGGCGACCCTCGCAGTATCCGTAGTCCACGTGCGACTGTTGGGGGTTGCGCGGCAGCGATGTGTCGGTACTGCGTACAGGCGTACTGTTGATGCGTTTCGCCAACTTAAGCATGCGGCACCGGTCTTCTGGGTCGGAAAACAGACTGCGTCATCTTTCAAATAAAGAGATGCCGCGAATTTGGTACAGCAGCCAACTGTGGGGTTTATCACCTCTGGGAATTGCTTCTACATATTGTCGGTGATTGTAGAGTTCAGCACTGCGGGGCATTGTGATGACGTGTCTGGGTCTGATAAACTATCCTCGGCTGGATTCATTAGGAAAACTCCACAAGTTTAACGCGGTGATCCAATCGTTATCATGTATTTTTAGTCTCGGGTTGTCGGAAACGTGACGAACGTCAGTTCATTTTGGTAACCATTTTCACGGAAATTTACCATGTAGCTATGGAATACTGTGCGATGCACTCTTTGTGGTATTTTCCGCATTTCTTAGTATCGGTCTACTGATGGCCAACCATGTAGAGCTGGAGATGCTAGTAATCTTAGCTGCGCTCTCTAGTTGCAGGCGCACTGAGTGACAATTGATAGTTACAGTGATGAAAATACGAAGTGAAAAATATCCTTCCTGTACGGTTACATAAATCACATACTCCCACTTGATTCCGCGTTACTGAGAAGATTTCCACTGGCTCCCACAATAAGGACGTCGTGTAGTAGCCGATCGGCAATATTTTTCCTTATAACCTTTCTTGTGGCAGGCAGTGCCCTGTTGACTGATGAACGCGCAGTTTCTGGCAAAATGCCGGTCACCACAATTCCAACAAACACATGGGGGCTACTGTCGTGCAGTGTTATATACATTTGTCGATGTTCAGGTCGAAATTGTATCAACCATCACGATTTCCAATTTTAGTTGTCTCGACCGCAACACTTGTGAGTCACTTTTTATGTGTCCCTCTGTAGTACATCCCTGTAGTAACATTCTGAATGGTGAACTCTGGAGATGAGTACAGTTTGGATAACATATTTATTCTGACTTCTGTGTCCGATATAGAAGTTAGGCCGAATACAAAAATGAGTAACCTGAACTGATCGCTTGTAACTTCTTTGAGCTTGAAGCGTTCCCATGAATGGTTCGCTCTTCCTGCGTAGGAAACATAATCCTCAGATTGATTTTTAACCAGCTTCAAACACTGATAGCGAATGTTAAAAATTGTTGACCTCTCACCAAAAATGGAAATGAGAACATGGATCGTCTCCTGGAAATCGAAGTCCCGGGAATGTTTCGGTAAAATAAAGTTACAATACTTGTGTTCATTTGCGCTCAGCCTCCGTAGCTACAACCATGCTTTGGCCATATCGTCAAGCGTGCTCGCGTCAGCCAGAAAGATGTCTTCATTCCGCCTGTACAAGGTTACGAACTTATCCCGTTCTCTGCCTCATAGTGGAAGACTTGCATTCCGTTTCCTAATGCTCTAGGTGAAATGGACCCGGTTTTCACTGTGATGGGTGTTAGATTTAGTGATGGCAGTTTCTGTGAGTGCTAAAAGAAAGTCCCAAGTGCATGGGGTGAATCGGTCATTGTCCCGATTCACAAGAAAAAACTCGCAAGGATTGCGCCAATTACCGCGGAATTTCGTTGATCTCTGTTGCCTCCAAGGTTTTCTTGCCTGTTCTACTCCGCAGGCTCTCAGTGACTAGAGAAGGCGTTTACCGAGAGGAACAAGCTGGTTTTCGTCCAGGTCGCGTTTGCATTGACCACGTCTTCACCGTCCGCCAGATTCTTGAACTCCGTCACGGCCAACAACCGTAGTGTTCTGGACATCCGAGCGATATTTGACTCAGTAGATCTGCATTGTGGAACTGCCTACTAAGGAAACGTGTGCCCGACGAGTTTGAAACTATGCTGAAGGATCTCTGCAGTTGCACTTCGGGCAAAGTGAGAGCTTATGGCACGCTTGCCACCTCGTTTGCTGTCACCAGCTGCGTGCGCCAAGGTTGCCCCATCTCACCTTTCCTCTTCCATTTTGCTGGTGAAGATGTCATCCAACGAGCATTGGAAGGCCCTCAAAACTCCGGTATTGAGCTTCTCCCAGGTGACAGAGTCGCGGACTTGGACTACGCCGATGATATCGCTTTGCTTGGGGACGATCCACATGCGGTCCAGAGCGCTGTGAGCCGCTTAGCGATGGAGGCATTTAAGTATGGCTTGTGTTTCACGCCAGGCCAATGTAAAATATTTCTCCAGTATTGGCAGATGCCTGTACCTGCCCTCACCATTCCTGGTGACGTCAACTGTTTCACTTATCTAGCGAGTTGCATCACAGCTGGCTCCCACAACGGATGGTAAAGGCCCGCCTTGCATTCATCAGGCTGAGACACTTATGGCGACGTCGCGACGTCAGTCTCAAACTCAAGGGCAGTGTATACATTGCCTCCGTCCGTGCGGTCCTCTTGTACGGCTGTGAGACCTGGGCGACTCGCTCGGAAAACATAAATCGATTGTCAGTTTTCGACAATCGTCTGCGTAGGATTGGTCGCGTGTGGTGACAGCATCACGTGAGTAACGCAGAAGTCCGAGAGCGAGTGTTTGGAGTAAGCAGTCCATGTCTCCAAACGATTATTCTCCGACACCGCATGCGTTTGCTCGGCCACGTATTGCGCATGTCAGCCTATCGGCTTTCCCGTCGAACGTTATTTGCGCACCCCGGAAGCGATTGGAAAATGTGCCGCGGTGGACAACCAATGACGTGGCGATGGAGCATGAAGAATGCAACCTCAAGCTTAGCATCCGTCAGACCTGTCCGCCTTCCAGGATGGGGACCACGCGATTCGGACTGCCAGTGATTAGAAACGTTGGAGGCTATGGAGCACAACAGGCCTCAGTGGAGACAGTGCTGTTCAACCGCGTTATCTATTAGTTAACGTCTCATCGAACATGAAACTCCAAAACACACAAGAAAAATCAAAACGGCGTGTAAAACCGGAAAACGTTTTCTTCACATGTATTTCGTTTCCCTTTTATTTCGCAATGGTTATGGTGGCGAATTATCTGTACTCATATATATATATATATATATATATATATATATATGCTTGGAATAACAACACCTGCTTTTGTTGCAGCGTTGCTCGTTTTTGCTGCTGCATATACTCTTGCTGATATTGTAGTAATTGGGTTAGCAGTGAATGATCATCCTACCTCCGTCGCCTGTCTTAAGATCGCGGTTTATGGGGCATAGAGCCGTCAGAACAGACTTCACCGCACCGGACAGTGTATTGACTAAACGTAAAGTCACGTGAAACAGGAAAGACAATCTATAGTATAAGGTGAGAATGTGTGTCAGACAATCCGCTCGCATAGTCGGCGGGCTCATACACATGAACAGGGCAGTGGGTGAGAGAGTGGTTCACAGTCAGACGAGTGGAAGAACCCTGTCTACTTAAGGCACCATATCGCCTGGCGTAACACGTTTCTTTTTCACGGTGCGTCCAATTTTAAACATAAGAACAAACTCAAAACGGTTTGTGCGTTGCAACAACAAACATATTTCCCTTTCGGTAATGTTTCCATCTTTTTGTTGACCACACTCTTCTCCTTCTATTAGTTTTACTGTTTCGATGGCACATTTGTCTGTTTCCAGACTTGTGAATAAGAGATATTATGACTTATATGTTATCAGAGACGAGTCCCGACTTGTGTTTTATCAACGCTTTCAGGCTAAGTTGTGTTGACGACACATTCCGAGTTGCTGCGAGCTTTTCAAAATAACAAGAACTTCTCATTTGCCGTTCGTTCCCATAGCGAATCCACATGAGTTGGGCTACGATAATATCTTGAGCATCACAACCCATCTCTTTAGGTGTTTCCATTCCGTTTCTCTCCGCTTACTTTTCGTGACACGAATACTGTTGTCTGCCTGCCATCTGTATCCACATCGATTTCCATTCCACCCTCTCTGATAGTGTAACTTATAGCATTTGATGGCCATGTATGGATGCTTCTGTTCACCACACTCCCTTTAGGACATCTTCAACTCTCTCTCTCTCTCTCATCTGTTGTTTTCAGTGCAAAATAAAGCCGCGACTACGGAAATCGATATGCTTTGGGAGTTATCCAAGCAAATGGAAGGCCATACCATTTGCGCCTTGGCAGATGGAGCCGCCTGGCCCGTTCAGGTGAGTAATTTGTGTCTATTGGCCACTGTGCCAAAAATCTTGACTTCTTGTATCAATGGGGCAGAATCTATCGGCATATCGTAGCAATCGTGATGCTGAAACCCGATTTTTTTTCTATCTTCGAAATGACCTCCATCTCAATCCGCACGCCATCATTTATTCAATTTTGTTGAACTATCCGTGATTTCTGAGGTCCATACCGGTGGAAGTATGGTCAGTAGAGTACATCTTTGTCAACGGTGGTAGTTGTTCGTTTCACTCGACTACACCGTTCTGAAATCGTAATCACAGCTGATCCATATTCCAGGCTTCGTTGTCGCTTGAGCTCCGATCGTCAGCGGCTTTTATCTCGCCACTGAAGTTTTGCATCGTTCTCTGTATTCTTTGGAGGCTCCCAAATTTAAAGTATTTTTTATCACACGGGATTAGAGTGCATCGTTTTCCCTTTAACTTGCCTAACTGGACTATCTTACATGCACATGGATAGTATTGACTGTTTATTTGGAATGCACATTTGTTGTGGATTTTTCTTAGTGATACCGACCGTGTACAGTGGATGCTGTTGCGCTGTCTTGGGTTTCCTCTTTCTTACGTTTGCATGGTAAGATTCCTTCTACGATTTGACGTTTCTTTGCTGCGCTTGCGCAGGTTATATGCACGGTAGCTCATGCTCGTTTCAAAGTACTACAAACCGGTTTTAGCGAATTGCGGTCTGTTGGTATTATCGGTTCGTCATTGAACTGGCACGCTGGAACACCGTACACAGATATTGTTTATCCTCTGAGGGACCCGAGCCTTAGTAGACTGGGTTTAATGGTGTCATACACTGTGCGGAAACCTCATTTTGTGGCTAAATTGTGTGTCAATGATACACTTCTGGCGTCGGATGTTACCAAGATAGTCGTAACGTTGATGTGCATAGACGAGTACTGAACAGTATTAATCACGCTGGAACCCTAGAGCAGCAAATAACATTGAATACGTTGTGTTGGATTGAACACGTGCTATGTATGCCAGCTCATTGCTTTGCCGAGAAAAACATTGTTTTGTTTGATGCATGTTGTATGCGGCGATCATAGATGACGGGGCAAAATTGGGCTTTGCAGAGGGAACTGAATTCCTTGACGACATCACATCTTCCATGTTGGAGTCCACCTTACCCATTGTGTGCTTGGTTCCAGACTTCGCAGATCCTGAATGGCAACCAGTACCAGAGGCGCGTTTGCTGCCGTCTCTCTATCGGCTGATTACGACGCTGGGCAGTGAAAGCCAGAAGGAGGCTGTTTCGTTAATGCTGTGTTCGCATGATGGCCAGCTGTTTGTGACCGTATGCTGTTGACAAAGTGCAAGCTTTTTGACGCTGAATGTTTGATTACGGGATTCACGCTTTACACTGGGTTCCTGTCCTCTCCCTTTGACTATTCTTTCTTTTCTTGGGCACATTAGGGAAGCGTCAGTTCAAATTAGGGGTGTACTGCTGCTGTTGATTTGGATAACGACGCAGCGATACTACGAACACTGGGATACTCCTAACAGAATGCTATAGGCTATTACCGTCCGATGAAGCAGTTGACATAGTTGTGCATCGAAGACGGATTTGAAGTCCCGATAGATCCACACTAGGCTGGGTGTTTGCGTGTGCTTTGCGCCTCAAACTCCAAGTATTGCACTCCATATCTGACTGCTATAAGACCGGCTGTCACATTCAGCAAGCGAGCTTTCAAAGTAATCTTTGGTTTCCTCTACATATGTCCTTGTCATCTCAGGCAGTGCGAGCATCGGTTAGTCTCTCAAACCACTGGGGCCTTGGGGACCGTTTAAACCCTTGATCACGCATAGAATCGGCTAGGTGTCACTTTAGGGATTAAGATCAGAATGTACAACGCTGCTATTCGGTCCGTTTTAACCTATAGATCAGGTGTCTTACATGTCTGTCCTTTTTTGAGAAAGATTATCGCAGCCAAACTTATGAACCAGCTTCCACCCCCCCATTAGTCCATTTTTTCGCTTTACTAAGACTCATCCATATCACAAAACTGTCAAATCTTGCCGGATGCCAACCCATCACCGTGCTCTTACGCGCCAGCAACTATAACCACTGAGCCATGTGTGACTTTGACGGGCAGAGGTTTAAGTCCACTGTCATGATTTCGCATTCAATTAAGCAAAACAATAGTCTAGCACTTTTCTGGATGTGTGTTGGCGGTCTGGCTGTTTCTGACCTCAAAGGACCTTCTCATAGACAAAAGTCCCTCGAATACTTTCTAGCAAGTCTACTCGTGCCTGACCGCAGCCGTCTGTGTTCCATTATCTATGTAGGTCTGCTTGCCGGGGTTTACGGCTTGTTATTTGATATCATTTGCTATGGCATTTCTTAACCTACCCAGTTCGGCTGCGTCGTATTATTTGCATACTTACCTAGCCGACCCAAAGCCTTAAAAATCACAAGCGTACCTTGTAATCTGAGGTCGCGGGTTCGAGCTTGCGTACCGGACCATGCGACTCTCGCAGTATCCTTAACCCACGTGCGGCTGTTGGTGGTTGCACGACAGTGATGCGTCGATACCGCGTACGGGCGTACTTTTACCAGTGTTTTTACCAATGTTTCCCCCATTTTGTAAAACTTCAGAGAACCATAGTGGTGTACCATTACGAAAGGACGAAAATGATCTGTCACTTGTTTTTTTGTACAAAAGCCGCTAGACTGACCGCATGTTCACTTATCAGTTTTTACATGGCACAGTTAAGAAATCTATGGCACTTTTGCACTCGACCTCATGATTCTACCTACTCTTCTGTGTTTGAATCCTTTCTTCTATATCCTTATCGTTTCATTTTCGATTTTTTGCTCACTCTCTATTTTCATTGGGATATGTGTCCGTGTCAAGGGGATCCGTCGTACTTTGCTTCCCGGATCACCGTAGGTTACTCGGACTGCACTTAATCCGTCTATGTTCGAACACGCCTGAACTTAAGAATGAGGACCGAATGTTGGATCTTCACGTCACAGGTCCACAATGCTGGATATTTCAGATTGCCTTAACGACATGGCACAAATACATAAGTAAATAAATTTGTTTGTTTGTTTCTCGATTGTACGAGATCTAGACCAGTATGTTGGTCCCCGTCGAATTTTACAAGCGTTTCACAAATTTGTTGGTGATACAGATAAATGGGAAAATAAACACGTGAAGATCTCATCATTTCACATGGTCTGTCAGTCCCATTAGAAGCACAGTGTCAATCACATGTTGATTAGTAGTTTGCCAAGATATTGCAATGTAACATATTTTCATCATTCGTTTGCTCGCATATACTCGGCACGCGATGTATACTCTCAAAGCATTGTAGTCGGTAGCGGCTTGAGCTAGCTTGATTCGTCATGTAGCAGTACGCAATCAATACGCCAAACAGTCAGGCGTATTGGAATATTTCTCCGCAGTATTTGAATTAGTCTCGGAGGAAGCGACATGCTGGACAGCTAGAAGGGTGGACAGGTTAAACGATTTGCAAGAAGACCGCCGTGGTTATGTCAGTATTTACAAATCTAAAATATTGTCAGGAAAGGATGATAAGGTTAATAATAATTTATTTAGCAGCATACATTGAACAATTATTAATCACGGGATAAAAGCAAGTGCTTAAAACGTCCCGTAGGATGGTTGGGGTGAATACGATGAAATCGAAATATATGTGATTTCAGAAGGTTTTGTATGCAAATCGATTTGTATTCAAAACCTTCTGAAATCATGAAATCACAGTCGGTTCCAAACATATTCCAATATATCGAAATAAATGTGGGTCATCTACCGAACGTCTGCCGAGATGAATACGTTGATAAATAACATCAGTGTACAATTAACCAAAACATTCGAGCCTAAGCCTTCAGAAATACACCGGGGTGCAGTGGTCGTTGATATAAGGCGTGAAAAAGTAAAATATGCTCGCTCACTTGAGTACATTTGATACATAAATCCTGTAGAAAAGTATGCTTCGCGTAATCCACAATAGAGGAGTTTAGAAAACAAAGTGTTGGGAGCTAAGAGAAACATCTAATCATTTTTTAAAAACGTCCAACTGGGTTTGGGAGTGCTTTCCAGGGTTGGCAAACCCGACGGGAAAAGTAATTCCGTTGACACTTTAGACGGCTATATTGTTCCTTCAATTTTGAGCAGTTACCCCTGAGCTGCGTGTTGTGGCTAAGTTTCAGCAAATGTCGGCATACGTGGTTGGGGTCACTCAATACCTGATACGCTAATATGAGATTGCCGCGCAGCCTTCGACAGCGTCCGCTGAAAATCCCCCGGCAACTTCAGCCTTCGCTGGTAAGAATGATAGCGCAGGCCCTTTGCATTCTTTGTTGCTCTTCGTTGTGGTGCCTCTAACGACTCTAGGTCGCGCTTCAACAAAGGTTGCCAAGCTTGGATGGCGTACTCAACATGCGGGCGCACGTAGGAATTGTGCATCATTGGGCAAATTGATAGGTCAAATATCCCGAATGCCCTTCGCAGCATGCCGACGTACTGGTTGCCTCTTTTCTCAGCTACCTCAGCCTCAGTTGAGGTCGCTGTGTACGAGCACACCAAGGTCACATTCCTTGGAGCTGGTCTGTAGTCCGTTTGTCCCAAGCAAATATGTATAGTTATGTCTATGGCGTAATTGTACAACACGACAGTTGTCTACGTTGAATTGTAGGGCGTTTGGAACTGACCAGTTCGACACTGTTAAGATCGCACAGGAGCCGTTCGTGGTCATCCGGTCCTCTCATCCTTCGCCATGTCTTGATATCATCAGCGAAAAATAGAAAATCGGAAGCAATTGAGCTCGCCAAATCGTTAATGAACACCAAGAATAGACAAGGTTCAAGTACCGAGCCTGGTGGTACACCATACACCACATCGATTGCATCGGGCAGTGATTCTCGGACTCATCGCTAGCCTTCGTTCGTGTAGAAAATTGTTATTCCAACTCAGGATTGGGTCGCCAGTGCCGTAATTCCG